AGCTGTAATGCCACGGCACTCTACCCAGGGGGACAGCTTGAGGCTCTGTCTGAAAAAAAAAAAAAAAGAAGAATTTATTTTCTGACCAGGCACAGTGGCTTATGGCTGTAATCCTAGCACTCCAGGAGGCTGAGGCGGGAGGATTGCTTGAGCTCAGGAGTTTGAGACCAGCCTGAGCAAGAGTGAGAGCGTGTCTGTACTAAAAATAGAAAAATTAGCTGGGTATTGTGGCAGGTCCTTGTAATCCTAGTTACTCAGGAGGCTGAAGCAAAAGGATCACTTAAGTCCAGGAGTTTGAGGGTGCATTGACCTATGATGACGCCATTGCACTGTAGCCAGGGCAACAGAGTGAGACCTTGTCACACACACACACAAAACATAAAAAATAAAGCAGAGGAAAAAACGCGGGGGGGGGGGGCAGGGGGAGAATATCCCCAATTCATGAGCGAGTGCTGGGGTCAGCAGTCACGAGTCCCCTCCTCCCTCCCTGCCTGTACCCTTTCAGTGCTGTAGATTATTGGGCCAGAACTGGCTTTTCTGGGTTTAGGAAGAAGAGCCTGGGGGCTTGTGGTGCCATATCTCCCCCACCTCAAGCTCCACTTCTCCTCTGCATTGAGATGTTCTTACTTAAATTTCTCCCTCAGAGAAGAAAGAGCCGGCTTGAGAGTGAAAAGGAGTTTGATTCAGGTCTGTCTAGGCCATCCGTGTGACCTAGGGCAAGTCACTTCAGCCCTCTGGCCTCAAGAACTTCTGTCACAGGGTGTCTGTCCCTCTCTCCCAGGCCTATAGCCATTTGGGAGTGTCCGCGTGCAGCCGTGTGGCCATTGGAGATGGGCCTGCGGGTCGTGGTTTGAAGATCCTAGGCACATCTCCAGCTGGCCCTGGATGTGCCGGTGCTGGTCAAGGGTAGTGAGCTGCTGGGGCCGCGGGACGGCAAAACTCTTTCTCCTAGAAATGAGGGCTCTGGGTTTCTGCTGGCAGGGCTGATTGTACCTGAAACTTAAGTCATTTTGTGCTTCGGCTCCTCCTCTGGAAAAGCAGCCTTGTAACACCTGCAGCTGGCTCCACAGAACTGCCAGCAGGGACAATAGGCTCTTTGCAAACCGTGGAGGTGGGCTGGCTGCCTGCAGAGCTGCTGTTCTCAGGGAGCCCTGGCGGCCTCTGACTTGGAGGAATGTTTTTGTCTTTTGCAGATGGAGAAAGATGAAACCGTGAGCGACTGCTCCCCACACATAGCCAATATTGGGCGCCTGGTAGAGGTGAGCTGGCCTTCGGGCTCTCCAGGCTCTGGGTTGCTCCTGCATTAACCCCCAGCAGTGACATAAGTGATACTAGCCTCTGAAGCCTGTTTGTCACTGGCTGGTCTTCTGTGCCGCTTTCTTCCAACTCCATCGCAGCAGAGAAGCTGTGTTATGTCCTGGCCTCGTGTTTTCTGAGCCTTCTTACCTCCTAGGCTTCTGCCCTAAAGGTGCCTCTTCCCCTGCCCCCTAAGCCTGTGTTCCTGGAACACTGCTTGGCCGGCCGCCATTGGCTCTGGGAAGCGCTGAGTCCTGTCTTCCCCCAGTCACCTGGGTCTGAACAGAGACCTGAGCTGGGAAAGGAAGCAGATCCCTGAAACACAAGTGGGGCTCTGGAGTGACTTCACTTATGGCTGTCTCAGCCTTCCCTGTCACCATGTTAATTTGGAAGGAAAGGAGGGGTTCTCTGGTTTCATAGAATTGGTGGAGGTGCTCAGGGGCGGCAATGTGTTTTATGCCATCTCCCAGTGATGGTCAGAGTTGGCTGCCCATACCTGGGTATTTGGTATCCTCCCAGCCGGAGGCCTGGAAAAGCTGGGAGCACAGGTGCAGATGGGGCCCTCCTGCAGTGCCTGAAGCAGGCGTGTGCCTCCCCCCAGTGGCCACAGCGGGGACTGCAGGGCAGGCTGTGGGACAGGACTGGAGAGGAGGTCAGGAGTCCTAACTTCTTGTCATGTGCTAACCCTTCTAGGATATGGAAAATAAAATCAGAAGTACGCTGAACGAGATCTACTTTGGAAAAACAAAGGACATCGTCAACGGGCTGAGGTAACATACCGGAAAGCACAAGCTTTGCAGCCAGAAAGAGGGATTTGAATGCTGGTTCTACTAGTTAATAGCCAGGTGGTCTAGGGCCTCAGTTTCCTCATTTGTAAAACAGGCTAAAGTACCTACCTTCTAGGATCATTATGCAGAGTTTGAAAGGTAAAGTGCTTCCTGTGCAGTTCACATGTTCAGCAGCTGCCCCCACCACCATTTTTGTTTTCTCGGGCAGATTGACCTTAGTAGCCATTGGTGCCCTCATCCCAGAGTTGGCCTCCTCTCTGTCCCCCAGTCCCTGCTGAGGAATCTGCCCAGCTTCTTCGGCTCTGAGCCTGAAGGTGATTCTACGCCACACCCCGAGACACTGTATGTGTGCGGGCTGCAGACTGCAGGGCAGCCTGGCCGCCTGGCCGCCTGTCTTGCCTAGCCTCTGGGATGGTAGAGAGTGACATGCAGAGAGGGTCCCAGACACTTGGCCGTGGCTCTGTTGGCAGTGTCCAGGGTCCCATCTTGTGCCCCCATTGCTGCATGAGGAAAAGCTAAGAGGGGCTCTGTGAGAACTCTAGGTCCATGGTGGATTGAGCAGGAGGCCAAAGCCCCGCTGGGGCACGAGTCAGGAGGCTGAGCTCTCCCTCCAGCCCTGTTACCCTGAGTGGCATGACCTCCTACATCCAGTGGTAAGGTGTTCTGCAATCTCTGTGCGAGGCCAGGAGGTGCCCTGTGCCCCCCACGGCTAGCCCTCTTAACCCTGCTCTGAGGTGTGACTTCACAGCCTGAAAGGAGAGGCAGAGAGCCCGTCTCAGGGCTGCCCCAGCTGGAGGATTTCATGTACTATGTCACCTGTTCTGCAGCTTTAAAACCTTAGAGGAGTCCAGGTGGCGCCTGTGGCTCAGTGGGTAGGGTGCCGGCCCCATATACCAAGGGTGGCGGGTTCCAACCTAGCCCTGGCCAAACTGCAACAAAAAATAGCCAGGCGTTGTGGTGAGCGCCTGTAGTCCCAGCTACTCGGGAGGCTGAGGCAAGAGAATCGCCTAAGCCAGCGGTTCTCAACCTGTGGGTCGCAGCCCCTTTGTAACAATGAAAATGCATCCTGCATATCAGATGTTTACTTACAATTCATAACAGCAAAATTACAGTTATGAAGTAGCAATGAAAATAATTTTATGGTTGGAGGTCACCATAATATGAGAAACTATATTAAAGGATCGTGGCATTAGGAAAGTTGAGAACCACAGGCCTAAGCCCAAGAGTTGGAGGTTGCTGTGAGCTGTGACTCCATGACTCTACTGAGGGCAACAGGGTGAGACTCTGTCTCAAAAAAAAAA